CAGCTATTGTCACAAGAATGCTACATAACAAACCACCCCAAAATCAGCAGCTTACAACAGTCATTCATTTTTCTGGCTGGCTTATGTGTCTGTAGGTTGAGATGAAAAGCTCTGCTTCAGGCTGAGAGTTGGCTGGGCTGGGCTCCAGCCTTCAGACTGTGTTCAGGTCTCCATAGGTCTGCGCATTCCCTTTAGATCAGAAGCTACCTGGAGCATGTTCTTTTGATGGTGAATCGCAAAGCAAAAGGAAAGAAAACACAGTGCCTCTTAAAGCATCACTGACATCATATCTGCTAGTGTTCAATTGGCCAAAGAAATCACATGACCAAGCACAAATTCATGCTACTAGGCAGTATACACTTTCATAAAAGGAAAAGAGTTAATATTTGCTGAACAGCAATCTAACCCACCACACTGATCCAACAGGTTTAAACCAGGACCATCCCAAGAATAGCTGGACCTGTGGTCCACCCTAGTTTGATCTTATGCAGCTTATGATCTAGCAAGGAAGACAGAAAGTGTGTAGTTAATTGTAACTGTGATATGGGTTACAATGGGGCATATGAGACCTAAAGTTCTATTTTATTATTGCCCATAGGTCTTGCATCTTGATTTTTTAAATTGAACTTTTTATTTTGAGATAATTGTGATTCCCATGAAGTTGTAAGAAATAATGCAGAGAAATCCTTTGTAACACTTACCTGCTTTCTCCCAGTGCTAACATCTTTCAAAACTATTGTACAAAATAGCAATCAGGATATTGACACTGATACAGTCAAAATACAGAAGTCTTAGTTTTTAGGTCAGTTTTTACATTCAGAACCTGGTGGCCGCATATCTACACCCATATATCTTCTACTCAAAGATATAAACTCATATTCTTGCCCTGATCTGCAGGGGTATCTTAGGAAGCCCCCGTACTCCCTTCTTTTCTTCCTTCTACAAATATCTACCAAGCACCTCTGCGCTATCAAGCGCTGTGCTATTGAGCACTGGATGTAGCTGCCTCTTGAGTTATGGTCTTATCATCCCTAATCATATCATCACTGTAGGTTGAAAACTTCTGTGGTTTTCCAATAATGAATTTTCCTCAAAGCTCTGATTAACCATGAAAATATTGAAGTTTCTCCTGAGCAAGTAACTGAATGCTACTGAATTATGGGCAGATAAAGTTACTCAAATTCTCCTTTTTAAATTTTTAGATTGTCAAAGAATTCCAAAGAATTGATGTAAATGTGTACTTTGCATCGTTTCAAGGTAAATGCATATGTGTACATATCTATCGATAAGACTTCCCCCTAAGCCCTTTGTCCTGCCTTGGAATGTAGATACACCATGACCAAAGGCCTTTAAAGAAAAAACAACAATGATTTTTTGACATGATAAAATATATGAAATTTGCCATTTTTGTCACATTCAAGTGTACAATTAATTCAGTGGCATTAAGTACATTACAATGTTGTGCAACCGTCACAGCTATCTATTTCCAAAATTTGTCATCACCATAAACAGAAACTCTACCCATTAAGCAATAACTCTGAGGGTCTTTTTGACCCTAGAAAGATATCACTTCCAATTTGTGCCATTGAGCTAGTAATGCATGTAAACTTATATCCTGACAGCAGTGCTGGATCAATGGGGAAAAAGTATCATAGGGAGAGCAGAGCTGGAGATGACTTAGATCCCTTCAAACTAGAGCGTCCTCCAGGCCTGACCCTGTGCCTATCTATGCATGAGTGTATGTGTGTAGGAAAATACTAGGGCTTTCTCTAGAAGCAGAGACTGAGATAAGGATACTTGCACAAGTGATTTATTGAGAGAGGACACCCTAAAAAAATTCATGAAGGAGTGAGGGAAGCAGGATGGGGCAGGGGAAGAAGCTGAACAAAGACGTGGTCAGAAGTCTTCCTTAGCCTGATTTCACAAGGATCCCATAGCAGAAAGAGCACCAGGGGGTTATTTCCCTGTGAGGCCAGGGAGCCGGCCTTTGTACCTCCATGCCAGCCTGTCAGTGGCCGCAGGGGTAACCTCCCAGGCCTCTTCAGGTGAGACAGCTCCCATTGGCCTAGGAACATTCTCCAGAGGAGGCCACAGCTGTAAACCAAGTAACAGCGAGGCTCACAGCAGCTGGAGGATGAGGGACGCTGGCAGATGGGACCCGGTCAGGAACCAGGCATCTACTCCAGCCCATTATGGTGTGACCCTACCGTGTGCTACCGGAAAAGAAACTCAGTGTAGAGCAGGGCCACATCTTGGAAATGAGTACAAAGAATTAAAACGAGGAGCTACCAAAACTTAGTATTGGTTGATGTTACAAAAATATCTTTTTCCTAGGGACTAACTAAATATTATCTCTTTCTTTTAAAGATCATGTGATAGACAAGCTGGAGAAATGTGGTTTCTTTAATGATAACAGAAAGGACATATTCTTTTTAACCGTCCATGATGCTGTCCTCCACGTACAGAACGAGGTTAAATCCCGAGAGATTCAAGATTCCCTTTTAGAAACGGTAAACATTTAGCCTTTTTACATATGTATATGTATCTTCCTTAACTATATGACTTCTGTAAATGGTGAAAATTGCACAAACTTAGGTTTGAACCCCAGCCTAGGGGGATGGTTAAGCCACCTACTTAACTTCTCAGAGCCTCAGTTTTCTCATCAGTAAAAGGGGAGTAAAAACATTTCCCTCTCTGGGTAGATACGAAGACTAAATATGATAGTTTATAGGAAAGCACCTGGGAGTACTGAGTACATATTAATTCTAAATGTGTGGGCTTACTAATAAAGGTAGGCAGTAGCTGTCATGCTTTTTTAGAATAAAGGCACCAAATCTTGGCTCTTCTGGGATTTGTATATACAAATGCAATTTAAATTCTCAGCAATCTAGAAACTCTTGATTTTCAATGCCTTTAAGTAGAATCTATTAGGTCATAACTGATCTTTGAAAAAAAAATAATTAAAAGTCATGAATCAGCCGAGTTAATTATTCCCCACAAAATAAAAAAAGACCCTGTATTCATATGAGCCACCTTATTTTGTCAGTTCTGTTCATCCAGCAGAGGCGAGCACTCTGGTCTAGGTCATGGGCGGGGCTATTGGTGGGCTTGGTACAAGAACCTCTTCCTTCCCATAATGAATTTAGGAAACTAAAACAAATACCTATAAAAATAACAACAATAATTATTATTTCAGTGACACAGTCTACTATATTTTAAATTACTTCCCCTTTTTTTCCCTAAAATTAGGGTAAGTAGATTCTTATTGTAAACTGGAAGTTAATGTCTGAAGTAAAACTAATTTAAAAAACAATAGTACATTATTCTTTTCAGCTATTGTTAGTGGAGACATTGCTCTGCCTAATGCTGCTGGAGAAAATACTAGTCCCAAGTATGAAGATCTGGCTCTTAAATAAAAAAGGAAAAAGAGAAAAGTAGTAAAACCACAAATCTGGGGGGAAAAAAAGCTGCATGCAAGATCTCATCTTTGAAAACTCATAAACCTTTTTATATCTTAAAATTCTCTAACCCATATGTAACAACAACAAAACTAGATCGTATACAAAGTATCTAAAAAATACTCTGTATTAAAAATAAAATACAACTAGGGTGACAAGTTCATTCTCAACATGAAAACAATTAGTTATTTGTGTACACACTATTCTGATCCAAGATCTCAGATCCCATGAGTGTCACAAAAACCACTAACCAAGAGTGCACCCACCAGTGTTAGCCTCAACCTTGTTTGTAATCAGGGAGGCATTGTGAGTGGCTGGGATGGATTTTTTGACTCTGAACAGATGTCAGACTGAGTAGAACTGAGTGCTTGTATTATATCCTTACTGGTTCACTGGGTAGTGGGTTGAGCACTGCTGGTGGCCTGTCAGATCAGAAACCTTATACTTCAGTGCACCCTCGATATCGAACACAAAGCCCTGTGCATGGTAGATGTAAATGATGACAAATCTCGCTTGTGGTACTTTCCTTCTCTTCAGGAAGGGGAACTTGTGTATTATGGATGTTGTGAATGCATTGATATGACCCTCTCCCTACCCCTTTAAATGGCCATCACTGGGATTATCCCAGGACAGCCTCATTTGTAGTTAGTTATACCTATCCTCTAACTTTCCCATTATGTCTGACCATCTGCACGGGACTGAAGTCTTTAATTCATTTCCATACTAGCAAAGAGAATTGGATTATTTATTTGTGAGATGGAAAGTAACTAAAAAGCTCTTTGAACGGCCACTCTTGCCTTTATATACATTTGCAGTTGATTTGGGAATATCCTTCTTTATTCATTAAGACAAAGCCCAAATTGCTACTGGTTTCCTCTGTGTATAAGATTAAAATACATATTACTGCTAAAAAGCTGAACAACCAACTTCGTCCATAGATGTTGGTTTCCATCTCCAATAAAATTAATTTCCATCCAAGTTACCTTGGGACTGTTTATTGTCATCAGTCACAAGACCATTCAGTGCATGTTCAATGCTGTACCTCGTTTAGCCGTTGAAATAAAAACACTGTTGACTGCTGAATCATTCAGGAAGACAGGGTGACTCACTAAGAGGCATGCACTTCAGAGATTGGGGAAGAGAGCTGAAGAGGGAGTCAGACAATGGAGAGCTACACTAGTTGACACTTGTATGTGAAAAAACGGTACAGGGAAAACTCTCAGTGAGAAATATAAAAGAACTAGAAAGCTGGAAAGGATTCTAAAGTATATAGATGATTACAGATGAGAAGCACCAGCAGCTTAAAGTCATTTTCAGTGGAGGAGCAGGTGGTTTGATGCTATTATGTTTCCAATAAATATTGTCTGTGTTCTCTTTGTCAAGATCTCCCTCATCCAAGACCATAAAGATTGTCTTGAATTAATGGAAGCAGAGCTGATTGAAGGAGACCTTAACATCGAGGATGAGGTATGAGCATTATTTTCTTTTAAAGAAAATAATTTGGATTAAATCTTGAATAAATAGAATAATACATACAGTGACTCTGTCTGATGCAAACTATTCAGAGAAAAAAAATATGTATTTTAAATACCAAAAGGATGGCTTCATAGAAAAGGAAAAATGGAAAATAAGGATTCTCCCTTGAAGACATTATGAACTTGGGGACCTTCTGCCCCAGGCGTATGGGCACGATCAGCGACTGGAACAGTCGACACTGGACCTGATTTTATATCTAAGCCTCCGCATACTTCCTTTTCCGCAGACCTAAGGGGTAGGGGAACGGTGAAGGGAGGGATCTTCTAACCCAGGAGTTTCATAAGCTTCAGAAATAGTACGTGAGGAGCAGGAACCTCATGACCTTTCTCCATCTGACTGATAATGGCTAGGAATATATCTCCGATGCTCTTGGGGCATCAGACAATTCCTAGGAAACTTGCAGTTATCTGAGTGAACTTTGTGGCTCCACCAGTGAGTAAAATGGGCCCTACAAAAGAAGATCGTAGAAATTTAAAGTTGAAAAATGTCCTAGAAATCAAGTGGTCCCACCTCCTGGCCCATGCAGACATCTCTCCTACACCATGCCTAAGGATGTCCACCCAGCTTCTGGGCGAACATTTCCAGACACTGGCAACTCGTAGCTTTTCCAGGGAGTTTGTTACATGGTTGGAAGCCTCCAAGTGTAAGTTGTGCTTACAAAGCTAGATTTGGCCTTTCTCTAATAACCAGCCTATGGACTGAGCTCTGCCTTCTCTACAACACAAACCCTCCCACTCGACAGCCCTTAAATGTTTGAGTGTAGGTCTCATGTTTCCAGCAGACTCTACTCCAGGTGGGACTCCTCCAGGTCCCCTTATCATTCCTCATAGACACAAAATTTGCCAAGAAGGGGACACAAAACCCTAGACAGAATCAGGCCAGCATGGAGATTATGCAACCATGACCTACCTTGATCTCATCAACATATTTCCATTACCATGACTTAAAAATGTGTTTATTTTCATAATAGCTACATCAACATCTTGGCTTCTATTGAGCAGGGGTCAATTAAAGACTTAGGATTTTCACACTAACTGTTGTCTAGCTGGGCTCCCCGAGTATATTAGTGTAATTGGTTTTTGACCCTAGTGCAGGACTACACGTATTTCTGACAGATTACATCTTATTCATTCCCATCTATTGACATCCTTTTGAATTCTGAATCTATCATCCAGCATATTAACTATACACCCCCACTGGTGTCATGTACAAATCTGATAGTATGTCTTCTTTGCCTTATTTGAGGTCCTGATGAAAGTGTTGAAAAGCATATAATTCAAACCCTATAGTAAAATCAGGCAGTGAGGATGACAGGCAGAGAAGACTTTTGTGGAGGAAATACACTGCTAGGGTGAAAATCAGCGGTAGTGCATCTTAGCCCACCAGTTTTGTGAGCCTAGGAAAGTCATCACTGAGCTCTGTAGTTCTTCCAGCTTTAGAAGTTTATGACTATGGATATAGGGCCAGCTTAGTTGAGTAAAAACTCATATATCGAAATTGGAACTTAAGAAGTTGCTATATTAGAGAAGTATTTTTGATTGCCACATAAAAGGAGCATTCAGGTAGGATTCCTGCAGATAGTGAGGCAGCATAGCAGAGTAGTTTTAAGGACATGGATTTTAGAACCAGATGGATTTGAGCATGAGCCCTGGTTCTGCTACATATTGGCTGTGTAGCCTATGGAAAATGATTTACCCTGCCTTCATGTCAGTTTGTTCATGTAAAATAGAAATAATAATGTTTTGAAAAGTCATGGAAATTAAAGGACGCATAGTAAGTGCTCAGTAAATAGTAATTATTGCTTTTAAAGAAGTCTAATTGAAGTTTGATGAGTTACAAAATTAAGTTTGTACCCTACTTTTATGATGACCCACACACCTAAATGAGTAAATGCAAGTAACTAACACTATCAAAACATATTTGTAAAATAAGATAATGTCGACTTAAGAAGAATTCAGTTCTATTAACACGTTTGTTTCCCCTTTGCTTTCACAGGCTATGCGCAGACTTGCTTCTTGAAAGTGGGCTCAGGGGGTCACTCGAGTTTAACCACCTGTGTAATTCTATGCAAGCATCTTCTGCACTATTTCTTTGAACTTGAAACACTCATTCTTTTTCCATTAGATTTTTTTAAATCTTTGATTTTTTTTAACCTCTTAGTCATTGAAAGAGAAGCACTTAAGATTGTTTCTAGGCTTTATTTATAAAATAAATAGCCTACTTCTAAAATGTGCAAAATGGTGAGAAGAATTATCCAGGTGATTTAGCCATGTCCAGGCTCCACTGATGTTATGTTTCCGGACCCACATGCCAGATTCACTGACAGTGTTCACGTGGGTACCCAGGTGCCTTAGTTTAGTTGTGGTAAGTGGGACCCAATAGCCTCTCTGGGCAGGTGAGTCAGGAAGGATTATCATAAGGAAAATCTGTTTCTGCCTGGCCTTGATACCTGTGAGCTGCACTGATCACAATATGTGGGCACACTGAGTAATGCTGGAATAAAATTGCTAGTGTAGTTATCAGTCAAAGCCTTCAAAAATCACTTTTGGTAAATATGTCAAAAAAGTCTTTAAAATGCAAATTTGGTTAGTACTTAATAATAATGAATGCTACATGTGACCATGTCTGTAACCAGAATTAGAATCAAGAAAATGGTTCACTTAGAAGCTACAGAAGTGGGCTGATGTATTTGGAGAAATGAAGCAATAAGATCATTGTGGTTTATAAAAATCACTTTTTGATATGATAATCATGGATCATAATTAAGATCAAATAAAATATATGAAAGTCTGTTTCTAGTCTCAAAGTGCAATTTTAACTTAGTTTATACAAATGATCACTGTGTAGAGGTACATAGTGGTATGGTCTATTTAAAATCTAACACAAAGATTGTGTTATTTTGAACAAAAACCAATTTTGATATTTATAAGACTGGTGATTAAAACAAATGTATTTTTTCTCTAAAATTTTAGCAGCATGAAAATAAGTGATTGTTAACTGAATTCTGACTACCTTTCAAAAGAAATCTTAAAAAGTAAACAGTCTGAATGTAAATCTATGTTTAAAATGATTGTTTTTGATAAAACATTCTAAATGAACTCAATAGCAAAAGAAAAAATTAGTTTCAGAGTATACACATTGAAAATGGTTTTTAAAACATCTATATTTTAACCCAGAAAATATATCTTTTATTTTTACTTAATCTTTTCTGACTGCCAACGATTTTCTATGTATATGTAATATATAGGCTGTGGTCCTGTGGTGTATTCCCATATATTTTACACTGGAGTGAGTGAAGTTGTACTTCATTTCTAGAGAAAAATAAGTACTCAGATCCCCAACTGAGACAACATCTTACGGAATTTGAGAATTATAGTATACCTTTGGCATAGGTGTGTGAAATTCCCAAATGTGTTTGGCCATCCAAGCCAGCAAGTCTTAGCTCTGTTTTTCTTCTTAAATACATGAGAAACAAGGTATCTACTTCTGAAGGAATATCATCAGTGATCATATACATTTATTAATGAAAAGAGTCATCACCATGCCTCCCCTTCTGCATATTGGAATTTGAGTGAGTTCTAATGGATTAGGATATTACAATATTCATTCACATTCATGGGTTATTCTGTCTTTGACTTAGAACAGATTTCTCCCCATGTTGGGTACAGCATAACCAGGATTATAATGTTATCTCATTTTCACAGTAATACCTGTTTATAATGGCAATAAATAATATCTCTAAAGAGTGACTATAGTAGTCTTGTAGGAAGTGGATGAATACCTCTGTTCAATAGAGGAAATATGCACTGTTCATTTTTTTTATTAGTTGAAAGAAATACCAAGTTACCCTTTATAATAAAGCTAGAGTTTTGTAAAATTCTGGGTCCATTTGTGACTATATATCAGTTCGCAGTCCATTTGACTTGTTTCCCACACAGGAATACTGTCTCTTCTATGCATGTTTTGAATAATAAGCGTACTTTTAATTCTGTATTGTCAATGGGAATTTTACTTGAAATTAAAGTTGTCTTTTGTTATGTTTTAACCTATATGATAAGACTCCAGTGTTGTATATGAATTTTGATACGTGAAAAAATCAAATGATGTACACTTGAAATATTTTTCACATCATCTTGGTGTAGAATTAACTCCTGGTCATTTGCAGAATGTAAAAGCATTTATGAGACTCTACTAGAGGAAGCAAAGATTTATTGAAAGTCAAAGAGAGATTGTTCTGTCAAAGGGAAGTTTTGCCAGGACAGAGCCCAATAGGGACAGCTGCCCTGATGAGAAGGAGTGCTGGGCTTTTATATTTTTCCAGGCAGGATTTGGGTGCTTGTCAGCTTGTGGGGGAAGGGAGGCTGCCATTGTCTTCTCCC